TAAACATAGAGGACAGCAAGCTTTTGAATCTGCAGGGAGATCACATGATTGCAATAGTCCAGTGCCCCTCTTTTGGTCTGACCACATCTCATGCAAGATTGCAGAAAATTCATTTGATTTCATATAAAACTCTAGATAGTCCTTGATTTATGACCACAATTGAGCCTGAAATTTCTGTTGTTAAGTGAGTAATTGTTAAGTGAATTTTGCCCCATTTTACAGTTAAGTGAATCACTGCAGTTGTTACATCAGTGACATAGTTGTTAAGTGAATCCGGCATCCCAATTGACCTTGCTTGTCAGAAGGTCACAAAATCGAGACGCTTGGCAACTGACTTATATTTATGACGGTTGCAGTGTCCCAGGGTCATGTGATCAACATGACCCTGGAACACCGCAACCGTCATAAATATGAGTCAGTTGCCAAGTGTCTGAATTTTGATCACATGACCATGGGGATGTTGGAAAGGTTATAAGTGTAAAAAATGGTCATAAGTCACATTTTTCAACACCATTGTAACTTTAAATGGTGAATAAATGAACTGTTGGAAGTCAAGGTCTATCTGTACTGGAATCTTGTGATATTTCATCAAAACTTCAGAAGAATCTGGTGTTTCCACACATGAGATCTGAAAACACAAGCACTCATTTTTATCTGTTTTCAGTTCATAGAAACTGGAATGGAAATTGGATGATATAATACTGCCTTTATACCAGTGGTGAAATCCAATTTTTTTTACTACCAGTACTGTGGGTGTGGTGTGGCTTTGTGGGCATGGCTTTGTGGGCGTGGCAGGGGAAGGATACTGCAAAATCTCCATTCCTACCCCACTCCAGGTGAAGGATACTGCAAAATCTCCATTCCCACCCCACTCCAGGAGAAGGATACTGCAAAATCCCCATTCCCTTCCCACTCCTGGGGGAAGGATATTGCAAAATCTCCATTCCCACTCCACTCTGGGGCCAACCAGAGGTGGCATTTGCTGGTTTTCCAAACTATTCAAAATTTCCACTACCGGTTCTCCGAACTGCTCAAAATTTCCGCTACCGGTTCTCCAGAACCTGTCAGAACCTGTTGGATTTCACCCCTGCTTTATACAAATTAATGGTGAAATCAGATTTGGAATAATTGTACAGTTCTGAATATTATATAGCTAAAAGAAGAATATTAAGGTATTAATATTATGGAGTCGAGGTGTCAAACTCAAGGCCCGGGGGCCAGATCTGGCCCACAGGGTGCTTAGATCTGGCCCGCGGGGCCGCCCTGGAAACAGTGAAGAATTGGCCTGCAGTGCCTCTGCCAGTGAAAACGGAGCTAGAGAGGGCTGCATGCTCGGGAGCCCATTTTCTCTGGCAGAGCACTCGGGCCACTACAGATGCCCCTGATACAAGTGACGTCGAGCTGGCCACACCTACCCTGCCCCCAAGGGCAAACACAAACCTGATGCAGCCCTCAAAGAAATCAAGTTTGACACCCCTGTTATAGAGATAGAGGATTGACATTATAGAGGATATTATAGAACCAGAAGAAGAGCAAAAAATGGGCAGTCTAAATGACCATGATATGTAGTGTTTCTCTACATGGAAATGCAACAGCTGTTGGAACTGTTTAGGAATGAAATAAGAGAAGGCTTGATAGAGGTATATACAACCATTGACTAAATAATACAGATAAATATTTTGCTCTCTCCCCAAAATCAGATGTTTAGGTCATCCATAGAAAATAAATGCAGAGATTCAGGAAAGACCACAGAAGCTTCCTCCTCCTCCTCTGGTACAGGAATTGACCAACTGGCTTGTCGTGACTAGCCAAAAGTCACTCAGCCAGCTTTCATGCCTAAAGCAGGACTGAAATTAATAATCTCCTGGATTCAGTTCTGGTGCTTTAACCACTATTCCAAACTGGCCTTTTAAATATAACATATAGTTAAATCGTAAAATTGGCTCCAAATAATGAAAGTGACTTCTAATCTGGATGGTTTTAAATGACACCTGGGCAGGTTTATAGAGAATCAAGTTGTTTGGTTTTAATATTAATGACTATTTACTGACTCATAGACAATATGCCTTAAATATGAGGGGCATATTCTTCCTTATTAATAATCCTAAAATAAAAAATATTGTAGCTACTATGTGCTGCCTTACTGTCATGGGTAATTAAGTAATACATGTGGGTTCTGATAAAGTGATTTGTATATTGTCCAAGGGTGGTGATCACTATTTCCAATTATTGGCTTTTCTCTGCTGTTCACTATTTCTTGCTAGCAGCATATAGTGCCTCATAATCTTCCGCGGAGCGGAAGTTACCAAACTTTTATGTAAGTGCAGTAAAGGTTTCCACCGTCCAGTAATGTCCAATTTTAGGGGATGGTGTTTATCTGTGGTGCTTATCTGCTTCGGACAATCAGCATTGTCCAAAGACATTTCCATGGTCATATGGCCAGCATGGCTATGTGACAAGGCACACAAAATACTATTACCTTCCCACCAAAGTAGTACCTATTTATCTACTTGCATTTGCATGCTTTCGAACTGCTAGGTGAGCATGAGTTGGGGTAAGTAACAGCTTACCCCATTGTACAGCGTTTGGGTCTCAAACCTGGGTTGCGAAGTGACAAGCTCAGCATCTTTAATCACTGAGCCATCGTGCCCACCCCGAGCTTTTATAGACATTATTTTAGACTAGTGCTGAAAGACCAACCAATCTATTTCTAAAACTAAGGAACGGAAGATTTATTTTTAATAGTGCGTATTGTTAAAAACAAGACACCCCCTCAACTTTTTCAATTTTGGACTATATCTAAATCCTGGCTCCAAGGCTAAATCTGGCAGAAATCTTACCCACTTGGATAAGATTGACTTATTAAAAATCTTTTATTGCAATAAGAATGAAGCCATACAAATGACTAATTACTCATTGCCAGACAGTATCAAGGTGCATCCATGGTGGTTCAAACTCATTGTTTCTTTCTCCTGCTTTTGCTACAAATTAACAGAGTTGCAGCATTAGGCACAAGGAATTACATAACTGCTCTAGCTGGAGAACCTTGGCCTCCACCTCTACTTGCATAATGGGTAGTGAAAACCACCAATACTGTTAATGCATTGAAGAAGATATGCAAGAATAGTTAAGGAAAAACAAGAGACAGCTTAATCCTGGGGAAGAAGAAGATGTGAGAAGCAAACTCAAAATTACTCTGCCTCAAGTCAGTTAGTCTCAAATCTTTATAAATCTGTCAGCCCTTCAAGACCAGCTAAATCAGGAAGCAGACAGCACAAGGATTACAGAAATACTATTTTATTGTTGTAGGGTAATAATAACAAAATCTTGAGAGGTTGATTTGAAGGGCTGACTAGTTTGTAGAGATTTGAGATGAATCAAAATACATATCTATTTTATTCCAAGCTAAAACATTTAATCATGGTACTATACCAAAATTATAAGCATTCATAATCATATACAGTATATATGTTATTTGCAGTTAACATATTTTATAATGTGAATATGGGATTCCATTTTTCAAGGACAAGTGCTGTATGAAGACTTCACATAAAAAATAAATCAAATACTGTCTTGTGTCCTGTTGCTTTGATTACCTAGTATTCATCACTATTTCATTTGAGCTCTGTTCTCAAACAATTTCTGTAATTTTCATTCCGGTTTACATCAAGGAAGCTTATTCTAAGTGTGTATGCTTTGGAGGACTAAGTTAACTATGACTACTTAGATATTTGTTTCAATTACAAGAAAAACCCTTTTGAAGTGAAGTTTTTGTATTAAATAAAAAGTATTATATGTAGGAAAACCCTGTAAAATAGATGAAGCTTGTAAGTTACCTGAAGTCTATTTTATAACAGAGAAAGATTTTCCTTGAAATAATTCAGCTTGTTACCATTGTTGTCAAAGAACCACATTTAAATAACTTAATTAATCCAAATTATATATTCAGGAAGCAATTGGTTTTAGGCTAATGATACAGTGTTAACTTCCTATTCTAGGATATTATTTTGAAAATTGGAGGAGAGATTTGTGAGTTGTAAAATGTGATGTACCCATTTTGCTTCATTACAACATATGTTCTTCAAATACCTAGGAGAAATTCCATTAGAAGATCTATTGTACTGGTTAATGCAATCTCATTAGAGATTTGCAGAATGCATTCTTCAGCATAAACCTTTCACTCCATTTTTACTCACTGGATTGCAAAAATTCACTGCCATTGCTTTCCAAAGTTGATAAATTTTCTATTATCTATACAATGTCCCAGGGACTTAATTTCAGCAGCTGTTTGACTGCAGCAGTTCTTTTCTGTCATTCTCTTGTGTCATTATTAAGAACCTCATAGGGCTTCATTTCAGATCTTGGAACAGGTGCAGCATTATTCTTGAAAAGACATGTTCTATAAATTAAACTGTAAATTGGATTGATTGTCTGTTAAAAATAGAGGCCATTAAAATGTTACTGGGATTTAAAGTTCCCCAATATCCTCTTGTTCTTTCTGTTCCTTATTCCACAGATAGTCTACAATCTTGTATCATGAGTGTCCTGTGGCATATAATGAATACTGAAATATGTGTAATGTGTACAATCTCCAGTCCCATATTGTAAATTGGTTGCAGATAGGTGTTCTGTTGAAGGCCCTCTACTCTCATGTAGTGCAAAAGCATTATACAATATTGATATTGGCATTATGGAATCAGTTATTTCTTATTCAGTGTTGTTGTTGATGTTACAATCTCTTTAATCTCAAAATTGCAATATGATTCAACTGGAAAAGAAAGCTTTAAAACGTGTAGTATTGAATATTCTCTTCTCTTTTTTGTTCTGCTTTTTGTACCAAAAAAAAAAAAAAAATGAACTCAAAATCTGACTCCTTCAAAGATATACTGGTTATTTTTTGTATTACTTTTCATGCATAGAAATATAAGAGTTTGAATCAATGTGAATTCTTGGCTAAGTTTTGTCCTATGTTCTTTAAAATTTATTTGCTGCTATTGTAGACCCTTGCTGCAGATCGGTGCATTTCCAGTATTGATTAGCTGTGGTGATGCAGTGGTTAGAATGCAGTATTGACATCTTGACTCTGCCTATTGCCAGGAGCTTGATCCTGACTGGCTCAAGTATGACTCAGCCTTCCATCCTTATGAGGTTAGTAAAATGAGGACCCAGATTGTTGGGGGCAATATGTTGACATTGTAAAATGCTTAGAGAGGGCTGTAAAGCACTATGAAGTGGTATATAAGTCTAAGTGCTGTTTATTTTATTTATTTTATTTATTTTATTTTTGAATTTGTATACCGCCCTTCTCCCTGAGGACTCAGGGCGGTGAACAGCCAAATAAAAACATCAAATACAAATATTAAAATACAGTTAAAAATATATATATAAATTTGGCCCCATTAATTAAAACAATAAACAAAACAATTAAAAACACTTAAAAAGAATTAGGCCAGCCCGGCTTGTTGGAAAAGGAAGGTTTTAAGGGCACGGCGGAAGGCACTGAGGTCATGGATTCTCCTTATCTCAGGGGGCAACTGATTCCAGAGGGTGGGAGCCCTCACAGAGAAGGCCCTCCCCCTGGGGGTCACCAGCCTGCATTGTTTGGCTGATGGCACCCCGAGGAGGCCCTCTCTGTGGGAGCGCACGGGTCGATGGGAGGTCGTCGGTGGCAGCAGGCGGTCTCGGAGATAGCTAGGCCCTATGCCATGGAGCGCTTTAAAGGTGATAACCAACACCTTGAAGCGCACCCGGAAGACCACTGGGAGCCAGTGCAGCTCGCGCAGGAGCGGTGTTACATGGGAGCACCATGCTGCTCCCGTCACTACCCGCGCTGCTGCGTTCTGGACCAGTTGGAGCCTCCGGGTGCTCTTCAAGGGGAGCCCCATGTAGAGAGCGTTACAGTAATCAAGGCGAGAGGTCACGAGGGCATGAGTGACTGTGCACAGGGAATCCCAATCAAGAAAGGGCCGCAACTGGCGGATCAGGCGAACCTGATAAAAGGTCCCCCTGGTTACAGCCGTCAGATGTTCCTCCAAGGACAGCTGCGTATCCAGGAGGACTCCCAGATTGCGAGCCCTCTCTGTGGGGGCCAAAGACTCGCCCCCAATAGTCAGTGATGGAGTCAACTGACTATATCGGGATGCCGGGAACCACAGCCACTCAGTCTGTTGTTATTGCTATCTACTTATAGAAGACTTGACTGTTGTCCTGCCTTAAAGATAGGGTTTGGTAGACGGGCTGTGTTTTGTGGAGTATTTTTCGGTAAATGATATATGGACAAGATAAGAAAAAAAAAGCAAACAATTTCCCCTTAGCTTGGAAGAAGGTTGCATAGTTTTGGTTTTCCCAAAATTATGGCACAGCTCCTTCCAATGGCATTTCTTTTGAAAGTCATAAATAATTTCCTGTGATTAACATATGTTTTTGTTATTTATTTTTATCTAGTTCTATCACCATTCTTTTATTTTAGCCATTTAATGGGATTTTAAAGATGATTTTATTATGGATCATTATAATGGATGAAATGGGTGAAAATGGATGGTGATTGATGAAATTTCTAAATTTAGTTATCATGTATGCAGAAATGCATGCTTATATGTATACTCACTCCTTTGTGAGGTATTCCCACTGAATATAATGGGACTGTCTAGCAGATATGCCAACCTGGTTTGAATTTTTTTATCTAGAATATATTGAAAGTTAACTAATTTAATTGTAGGTTGTTTTAGGTTTTTTCATGCAGTACCTCATGCAAGGAGAGCAAGAATCATATTCAGGAACTGTCTGAAATATAGGCATTGTAAGAGCCTTTGGCAAATTACAGTAACTGAAATGTTCTAATTTTAATAGATTTTAGCAATACATTTTAGTAATGTTTCATATTTTTTGGCAATATTGAGTTGCATATAAAGCTAGGCAGATTTCTTTTTGCCTTTTGAAAACAAAAATATCTAGACAAGTCGTTTGAAATAATAAAATTTATTCCAAGGTATTAGGTCTCTCAGATCTTTACTATGATGATAGGTTTCTGGGACCCAAATCAATTGATATTTTTCCCCCACATAATGAATAAAAGTCCCTTTCTCAAAGAAAATATTTGATGTATTTCGGTTGAAGATTTCTTGTCTAAATATACAAGTGTTTGTTCTAACACTGCTATTTATAAATGAAAGGTAGGGGATTAGGATGACATGCAATTTTGCATTTCAGATTTCTGCTTGAGCACAGTTCTTCAATCACTCTTCCTTCTGAAACCTCTGAAAGTTTTCCAAACACTCGAGAACATATTTGGGCTAGGAACATTGTGACTTCAAAATTATGAAATTGATAGAAACATCCAGATCAGGCTGTGTGATTTTTGGAACTGCTTTATGGGTTTTATATACAGTATATGCTCAAGTCAATCGAATCACACAAATTGATTGATTGTAATCATGAGCTATCCTGAACCCTTAATTGACAGTGTGATGCATGCAGTTAAAGCCAAGCAATAAAATCAATACAACCAATAATGCCAAAAATACAAGTACAATAAAATAGAGCAGGACAAATAGAAAGTTCCAATCAGATGAAAACAGCAACATGACAGAACAAACAAAAATGTAGAACAAAGAAACCTGCCATAAATAGTCTGAGACACTACTTTAGAGAATAAGAGAGACAAAATATAACTTGCTTATAAAGCATATAATAAATTAAACTCCTTGATGTAACAGCAATATTTTTGCCTGGTACTGAAAACTCTTAAGGAATATAGCAGACGAACTATTCCAGATATATTAGACTTCCAAAGTCTCTAATCCTACTAGTTAAGAGGGCTGTTTCAGAGAAAATAGTTCCCTAAATAGCCATTCAATGAATGTCAGTATGAGGTGTTTTTAGAGCAGACCGATGATGATGATGATGTCAAGATATGGGTACGCAAATCTACAATTTCAATTGTACCTTAAAAAGCCCCTGAAACCAGTGAAGCTGAAACAATGTTGGCATATGACATAATATGATTATATATACCAGCTAAAGATAGCAATTTTGTGTTGTATTTGGTATACCAAATGAAACTTACACAAATACATATTGCAGAACCTGCTTACTAAAAGACTTTATAAATGAAATCAAAAGATATATTAACTTTTTGTTTTAATATTGTGATATATTTTAAAATGAATATAGAGCTGGAAACTGTATGTTGTGAAAAAAATATTTGATACCAAGAATAGAATTCTTACTCTTTCTAAACTCTGGAATCTTGGCCTGGCAAAAAAATTGCTAAGTTTCAAATATATTCACAAATACATAGTTTAAAGTGCTTTCATTCACTTAACTCACGCTGTGGGAGAAACAGAGTAATAGATCGGCTTGAGGGAAATACCTTGTGACTACAGTAATTGCTTCTTTCTTGTGTGAATCTGTCTTCTTATTAGGATCCAAGATGGCACCGCCGAAGGCTGCCTCAGTGAAATGCTCTCTAATGGTTTCTTTATTTTTAATTATTCTCTGTCACTCTCTATGGATTTCTTACTCACGAGACCATCTGCTAAAAATTAAGCAACGTTTCTTTAAGGAGCAGCTTTTTGTGATCTCTCCCTCCCCCTGTCTTTACAAATGCGGAGAAGATTCTAACACAGGAAGAAGCAATTTCCCCGGAGCCATGGATTACCAAAAAAACCAAATGGAAAAAGCGAAGAAAGAGAAGTAAAAGGGCGGGGATTTTAAACAGATTAAAGAATAGGAGAAATAAAACTCCTCTGCCCTCAATTTTTCTAACCAACTTATGTTCACTTGCTAATAAGATGGATGAAATACTCCTTTTAAACAGATTCAATTCTGATTTTTACAATTCAGCAGTCCTATGCTTCTCTGAAACCTGGTTAAATGAATCAATTGAAGAGAGCAGCCTGCATATCCCAGTGTTTCAGATTCAACGATCAGACAGAATTGCAGAAACATCTGGTAAAAAGAAGGGAGGAGGCTTATATATATATTTTATATACATATACATATACATATACATATACATATACGTACGTACGTACGTACGTGTGTGTGTTTGTGTGTGTGTGTGTGTGTGTATAGTTAATATTTTGGGTTTCTTCCCGTGTAATTGTGGATATATCCCTAAAAGGGTAGAAGCGACGTTTCGGCAGAATCCCATCTGCCATCATCAGGCTTATGTCAGCAGTCATTTTGCGCTAACTGACGTTGGTATTTCAAATCTGGTGCTGGTATTCTGGGATGGCTCCACCTTTTCATTCTGATTGGATCCTGATTGGATTCTGATCCAATCAGAATGAAAAGGTGGAGCCATCCCAGAATACCAGCACCAGATTTGAAACCAACGTCAGTTAGTGCAAAATGACTGCTGACATAAGCCTGATGATGGCAGATGGGATTCTGCCGAAACGTCGCTTCTACCCAATATATATATATATATATATATATGCTTATATATCAACAACAGCTGGTCTCAGGATATAACTAATATATACATTCTGTGATGAAAACCTAGAGACATTAATTATCAACTGCAAACCATACTATTCGCCTCGTGAATTTTCCTCATTTCTTCTAATTGCTGTTTATGTCCCACCATAAACCTGTGTAAACAAGGCATTACGAACTGTAGCTGACCAAATTATGGAGGTTGAAGCCAAATACCCTGATTCACTGGCCATTATTTTGGGAGATCTAAACAAGGCAAACTTAAGGAAAGAGCTACCAAAATACTTTCAGCATGTCAATTGTCCCACTAGAGGCCAGAATACTTTAGACCATTGCTACACAACACTAAAAGATGCTTATCGGTCCTTACCACGAGCAGCTGTGGGACACTCTGATCATTGCATGATTCACCTTCTACCTGCTTACAGGCAAAGACTTAAAACCACAAAACCATGTTAGAAATGCTCCCGGTTCGGACTGGATTGCCCAGTCCGGTAGTGATGGAGGCAGGTGGTTTGGAGAACCGGTAGCAAAAATCCCTGCCCCCCACATTGCCCAGCTGAGCTGCGCAATCATCAGAGGCTTTTTAAAAAAAATTTAAAAGCATTTTTTCTACAACCTCTTTGGCCGAAAAAATGCTTTTAAAAGTTAAAAAAAAAAGCCTCTGCTGATCGCGCAGCTCAGCTGGGATCATCAGAGGCTTTAAA